TGAGCAGATATTCGACATCAAAGCAATTTCCTCGTGGTTTCAATTGCATGAGCAATACCATTGCGCAGCTTCAAACGACTCAACAAAAGATTAATCGTATTTAAACTGAACTTGACGTTGCGACATTTTCCTTTATTCCATAACGACGAAGTTCAATGTAAAGCAGTTGGTACATTACAAGATCATATCACGACTGATGGACGGTTTTACTCTGAAAATGATTCGGAATGGCACAAATGCCTACACGATAACTAATACAGAATGAAAATCACGTATCTTCTAAACCGTGTACTATGTATAGATTCTTACACGACGTAGGTCACAAACAGTCCGAGCAACAACACCGGCCATTAGAGCCAGGTAGGAATATACGCAAACCCCAGCACCTCCATGGTCAACTGCAGCATACACCAGTACACTAATATTGCAGCTCCCAGGTCTGGAAAGACATGGTGAATTAAACAGAATAACAGATAAGTAAGAATAAGTTCGGTATATTTTATTTTACTGTGTTTTTGAGTTCTACCCTTTCTATATAATATAGTTTGAGTTGTAGCATATGATAATCTGTGGTAATACAGTAGTCAGGTACGTGTGGTTATGGCAGTAAACTTTTGTCAAAACGCACTTAGAGTGACGACAAGTATAAATTCATCGCAGTGGGTATTATTGATATTGTTATAGCCGACATAGACATCTTGTGAATAACAGATGGAACAGACAGCAATGTCTCGTACTTTAACGATGCTAGTGTGTTGACATGCTGTACGTACACCTATATGACCTAGTTGTCTTCTGATAGCAACCATAACAACACAGTTACCTTCACAAACATATACATCAGGTAATTCAGGTAATCAGAATAGTTTAGGTCCTGGGAAGATTCGTCTGGATAGGCAGATATACTTTTAGAACGTTTTAGACTACATGTGTACGTATCTAGACGTATGTAGGTTATATATATATACATTATATACACTCTGTGCCCGTTACTGTAGGTTTTGTATATATACACTCTGTGCCCCTTACTGTAAGCTTTGTATATATACACAGTATCTATAATTAAGTAATACGTACCGTGATCTCCCAGCTTTATGATAACAGCCAATGTAGGATGTATTGTGAAAGCATGGGGAACCTTATTCGGTCAATAACTTGGATGATGAATGCGTCGTATGTCAAGGTCAAAATATATTAAGAAGTCGCAGTCACTGACTTTGTACTGTTACGACTTACCATGGTCTTAGTTTAGTTCGTTCGCGTAACGTTAGCGAACCCGACCTGAATTGTGTTGCTCTATTTCGAAATACTACTAAGGTTGTTGACAAGTCATATATACAATTATGGAAACAATGTATGACCCTATAGCACTTACAAAGGCCCTGAAGGGCTGGTCGTTTTCCTGGGAAAGTTGAAAGTTACTTTTGAGAATTCCATTGAATATCGGAAAACAGTGGTTATTTTTCCATTTTGATTAGTATCAGTTATTTTATTGATTACATAAAAAACATCCAACTTGCTCATTGTAAAGAACTCTTTTATCAGTATCAATTATTAGGATGGTGTTATACTCTGGTCACAGGTCATTTGTGAGATGGTCTACTGGCAGACAATTACAGGGTAGTTTAGTCCTGTGATTATACAGTATCCAATGCAGTCTTCATTGTAGTGACAGGTATTTATTAATCCTGGAATTGAAACCTATATAAGAAGAATCCTGTACGACAGACGAGATAAGGACGATCAGGTCCTGGGCTAAATTATTTGATTTTCTAATTACCGGAAATAAACCATATTGCGTCAAACTGCCTTATGTTGTTTCACGATGAATTACAAACATATATAGATAACCAAAGGATAAATCACCGATAAATGAATAATTCACCCTTTTATATTCTTTTCATATTTAAAGGTTTTTTTAAGCTTATTGGTTTCTTCAGATACATTACAATACAAAACATAAGGTATCAGAGTATGATAATTCACATTTGTAAAGACATAATGGATGGCAAGTACACAAAACAGTATGCATGATACATTATCAAAAGATGACACTTGCATATGTTTACAAAGTTTTGTTATTTTTTTTAGAAACAAATCCATTTAGTACTGTTTTATTACACAATGACAAAAATCTACAGATTTTTGCCAGATATACATGTATTTTGCTTCTTACTTAACTTTAATTTGTCTGAGTATTTCATTCCACATTTTCCAATATAAAGTATCGTATTAACCATATGTGATATTATATGAAATATGTGCTTGCTAAATCTGATATGTTTTTATATGTTTTATGCTTATGATATTTTTGCTTATGTTATAATTAGTACTGTTCCTACTTTTTAAAATGCATGTGCTATAATCAAACTATTTTCTGATTATTATTGTGATTTCTATGTATATAGTTTTTGCTGCATAATCCTGCTTTTTCTACTAGCATGCTTTCTACCTTGTTATTCCTCCTTTTTTATACTAATGTTTGTCGTAAAAATAGCTCAACAGAGCTGATTTTCAATGTTATGCCATATACGACACTAAATAAAGCTTCTTGAATCTTGTATGTATGAATCATCGATGAAGTATTATTATTAACAATGAGATTATTTCTCTAATACATTTACCATAATGTTAATTGAAAATATAAAAGTATAAAAGAAATAAATTCATTAAGTTATTGATCAGCCTCTTGAGTATCGGAGCTATACATATTATGACAAGGACAAAACATACATGTATATTTTCTACATTATATATTAAGTATTTTATACTTTGGATACAAAATGTGCTCTTTCTAAAATGTAGTTTTTATTGATGACTAAATATGGCATGGTTATGACCCGAAACTTGAGTGTTGTGAGCCTGCCACACATGTTATACTTTATTATGATAGCAGGTGTATACGATTACATATTTCGTAAAATATCTGAGGTGTGTATGCCGTAGACCCGGACGTGCTATAGATACTGACCAGGACTATCCTTAAAAACACACTATTGCTGACTCAGTAAGCTCGACCTTGACATACGGCTTAGTAATCACGAGCCGTTGACTGGAGGATATTTCAATTTCTCGCGCAATATAGTTTACATGAATAAAATGCTTTACAATTTATTTATGTGTTGTTGTTCCCCTTTTTGACGTAGGTTTAGATAAACAATTATGTTATTGAGTACAAATATCCAAATTGCTCATTGTAAAGAACTCTTTTATCAGTATCAATTATTAGGATGGTGTTATACTCTGGTCACAGGTCATTTGTGAGATGGTCTACTGGCAGACAACTACAGGGTAGTTTAGTTCTGTGATTATACAGTATCCAATGCAGTCTTCATTGTAGTGACAGGTATTTATTAATCCTGGAATTGAAACCTATATAAGAAGAATCATGTACGACAGACCAGATAAGGACGATCATGTCCTGAGTTAGATTATTTGATTTTCTAATTACCGGAAGTTAACCATATTGCGTCAAACTGCCTTATGTTGTTTAACAATGAAAATTCAAACATATATAGATAACCAAAGGATAAATCACCGATAAATGATTTATTCACCCTATTATATTCTTTTCAAATTTAAAGGTTTTTTAAGCTTATTGGTTTCTTCAGATACATTACAATACATAACATAAGGTATCAGAGTATAATAATACACATTTGTAAAGACATAATGGATGGCAAGTACACAAAACAGTATGCATGATACATTATCAAAAGATGACACTTGTATATGTTTACAAAGTTTTGTTATTTTTTTTAGAAAAATTCCATTTAATACTGTTTTATTACACAATGACAAAAATCTACAGATTTTTGCCAGATATACATGTATTTTGCTTCTTACTTAACTTTAATTTGTCTGAGTATTTAATTCCATCATTTTCCAAAATAAAGTATCGTATTAACCATCTGTGATATTATATGAAATATGTGCTTGCTAAATCTGATATGGTTTTATATGTTTTATGCTTATGATATTTTTGCTTATGTTATAATAAGAACACTTCCTTTTTAACATGCATGTGCTATCATCAAACTGTTTTCTGATTATCTTTGTTGTTTCTATGTATATAGTTTTTGCTGCATAATCCTGCTTTTTTCTACTAATGCTTTTTACCTTGTTATTCCTCTGTTTTTATACTTACGTTTGTCGTAAAAATAGCTCCACAGAGCTGATGTTCAATGTTATGCCATATACGACACTAAATAAAGCTTCTTGTATCTTTTATCTTCTATGTATGAATCATCGATGAAGTATTATTATTAACAATGAGGTTATTTCTCTAATACATTTACCATAATGTAAAAAATGAAAATAAGAATTTATAAAATAAATAAATACATTAAGTTATTGATCAGCCTCTTATGTATCGGAGCTATACATATTATGACAAGGACAAAACAGACATATATATTTTCTACATATATTAAGTATTTTGTACTGTGGATAAAAATGTGCTTTTCCTAAAATGTAGTTGTTACGAGCCGAACAGAATTGTGCTGTGAGTCTGACGCACATGTTATACTTCACTAGGATAGTAGGTGTATAAGATTACATAGTTCGTATACTTTATCTTGTTCTTAGCCTCCAATCATCAACAATACAAAATCTACCGTAGGCCATACATTATACTGTCGTGTGGTGAGAAACGTCATATATAAGCCAACATAATATAAGAAACCTTTTATTTCATCTGATCGATTTGCTTAGCCTGCTCCTCTGCTCGGGTCGTTATCATGTACGGTAACCAGTTTGTCCTTTAAAACGCACGTTAAGAACGAGAGAAATATTACGATATAGCTATATAAACCTTAATAATTTCTTGAAAAAAAAAAGTTTTGTTGAAATACGACCCTTGATAATATTCGAAATGTGTATGCTGTAGACCCCTCCGCATCAAAGCCATTTTGGTCTCTGTGGAGTATAACATATAGGTATATATAGATAGACCCGGACGTGCTAGATACTGACCAGGAGTCTCCTTAGAAACACCCTATTGCTGACTCAGTAAGCTCGACCTTGACATACGGCTTAGTAATCACGAGCTGTTGACTGAAGGATATTTCAATTTCTCGCGCAATATAGCTTAGAAAGCAGTTTCGTAAATCTCTCACTTTGACAGACAAGCTAGGCGGAGATCAAGGTAGGTACGAGGTACGTATATCGTGAACATGTACAGGTATAGTTATGCAGTATTGACAGGAACGCAAGTGTGTGCATATAACGCAGTCTACTTACATGTACATACAGATACGGGCAGGTTATAAGTTTACAGTCACTGTCAACATATTATGCCTAGGATTTTCAATTGACAAGTACATTGTGTACCTGCTATGTGCTTTTATTGATTGAATGTAAACCTATTGGTTATAGTGCTCGTCCTAACAGCGGTCACAGTCTGCCCTAGTCGACTCGGCAGCAGATAGGAAGTACGGTACAATTAGCGAGGGTGACACTTAAGGGTCCCTGTCCCATTGCTGGCGAAGGACTAGATTATTCCGCTGTATTTTTCGTTCCTTCAGTAACCTTCCCGTAATTTCGTTTTGGTTATTAATAAAGCGCGAGAGGACGAGAATGCTACCATTGACCAGTTATAAGTCAGGTGGTTCGAGTGACAACGCACTGCTCCACTGTATTGTTACAATGAAATGACTGAACTTTGTATAGTTCCACAAGTTAATGGTTTCTATCATACCCTAGCTATAGCCATGCCGGAAAAAGTTCCAAATACACAGTTACATTTTAAACAATAGTACGGGGACTCTTTAAACAGAACAATAAAAATATGGTGTCATACGATAAAAGTCTACTTTATCTCATAAAACATCAATTTTATTCGATGATAGGAGGACAGTCATAACGGCAGTATATCATGCAGCTACCGTAATTTTTTTAAATGTGTCATTTTGTTTGAAAATCTTCATTTGCTGTCGTTTTTTCAAAGCTGTATAGTCGTATAAGAAAAGAAATATGTGCATAACTAGATATTTTGTTGGCAATTGTACGAGATCGTTAGAATATATCATTAAAAACAATAGCTTACGTAAAAGCTTTAATCATTGATAATAGTCGACGATAGGGGCGATAGGGGTCACACTTGCGTGTCTGTCAGTTTTGAGGTCTCTCAAAGCGTTTTTGTTAAATCTTAGTTATCCTATTGTGTTTGCAGTTTTCATTTCCGGTCGATTTCTTTTCTAAGGCAGCATTACTGCTAAAACATCCCATAATTTGACGACATAAATCGGTATATTGCAGAGGAAGTAATTTCGTTACCCACCGCCGAACTGCAAATTCTGAAGTGAAAGCAGAAACGTTATTTTAACTCAAAACCGATGACTTTTGAATACAGATACACATTCTGTTCCAATAGATATAATGTACTGAATGAGACTTTGCAAACATTGCTGGTACCACTATGTGCATACCTGTACAATGTATGACCTTAAAGGGGCTATTTAGTCAAGTGACAACCTGAATATCGAGTCGATATCTCCTAACGAAAGTGCACGTAGTTGATAATGACATGACCTGAATTCAACGTCCAGTGTGGTCAGATTCATCTTTTGGGAAAGCCTGTGATAAAACTAACTACGACAGAAAATAGCGTAATATTCAATTAGAAGCGTACACAATATATCGCAAGTAAGAATTATAAGTATCATAATATATACCTCTAATTAGATATTTCTGTTCATATTTGGATTAAAATAAAAACGAACAGCTTTAATGAGAGCATGCACACACTGAGAGGGTGCTGCAGGGAGAATTTCAAACCGCGGAAGGTACGATATCAATAGCTCACTCGATCATTTATAACGATGTTTGAGATTAAGATGATGTTGGAAGATGATTTCTATTCAAAATAAATGCATATACTTGTATTCCAGACAGGCTAGACTAATAAAGCGAGAAATCTCTCCTCGGCTGGAAAGACATTTTTGTTAGCTAGAAATTCACGACTGCTGCCGCTAAAACGTACAACTGTACGCCAAGAAAACATTGTCTCTTGCCAATTTCTCGACATGAATTGTTAATAAGGAGTATCAACCTATACAATCATGAAGAATTTTGTCACAACGTTATAAGAAACTTACTTCCCTTAACTGTCCCTTTAATTGTTTACCTAGTATTTCACTGTGTCTCTCCAGCCCTGTGAGCTGAACTTAACTGGAGGCAATGGAGGTGCTGGGGTTGGTGGATATTCCGACATGGCTTCAATGGGTGATGTTGTTGGTCGGGCTGGTGGTGACCTACGTCATGTAAGTATTGATTGATAGTGTTAAATTAGTCACCATGAACAGGTCTGTGGGCGCTGGTACCCACAGGAGAGGATATGTGCACAGGGATCTGCTAATTTGTTACAGCTATATTTGGACTTTATTTAAGGTGTTAAGAGTAATTTTACATGTTTTAGGGGTTTAGATCGACTTTCCGTAAAACTGACACCCCCAATGATCATATCTACGAGAAACTCGTATATATGATCGTATTTACCGAAAGCTCGTATATATGAGCATTGGGGGTGTCATTTTTACGGAAAATTGATCCAAACCCCCATAACATGTGAAAATACTCTGAACACCTTAGTTTAGGTCCAAATATAAATGTAACAAATGTTCAGGTCCCTGTAAGTGAAACCACGATGTAAACAATTGTTGTTGGGTATAAAAGGTAGATTCAAGGCTCTACTTTACAATGGTGGCGTTTTGACAATAGTATCACAGGGGCATGGATCGCTTTACTTGTAATATAAAAGAAATAGGGGTCTCCTATACTAATATATACAAAGGGATATAACGACAGACTGAAATCCGTTACCCCCTTTTCTCTTTCAGCTCGTGTCAATCACAAATCTTTGTCCATATTGGATATACCTCAGTTGAATATCGAAGACAGTTGATTTATTTACAAAATGAAACCATAACTACGACTGTCTGACACATAGTTATCCACTGACACCGCTTTAAAGTCGCAATTACATCATTGAATTGCGACCGAACCAAATTCTATACTCACGAGAAATGACCAAGTTTCGCGGATAATCTCGATAAATCCTTATAATTAATATTCTCAATCCAATATATGTGCTGCCAGCTTCTCTGAAATACTACGTCGATCAGTTTCTACACATGACAAGTGGTATATGGGGATTTTCCCCCTCGCACACCTGCATTACACAGCAGCAGTCGACAAATAGGCTCCATTTTCTTTCGAATTATTTTACGCTCCGCACAGAATGATGTCCCGCCCTATCAGTGGCGGAAAACAAATGAGGTAACATTTTTGGAATAGCTTCCCTTTCGCATACATACAGGTAGCCAAAGATAGGGCGGGACATCATGTATTGGTTTGAGGATATTAAATAAGGATTTAAACCATTCCTTGGATATATTCATAGAGATTATCCGCGAAACTTGGGCATTTCTCGTGAGTATAGAATTTGGTTCGGTCGCAATTTAATGATGTAATTGCGACTTTAAAGCGGTGTCAGTGGATAACGATGTGTCAGACAGTCGTAGTTATGGTTTCATTTTGTAAATAAATCAATTGTCTTCAATATTCAATCGAGGTATATCCAATATGGACAAAGATTTGTGATTGACACAAGCTGAAAGAGAAAAGGGGGTAACGGATTTCAGTCTGTCGTTATATCCCTTTGTATATATTAGTATAGGAGACCCCTATTTTTTATATTACAAGTAAAGCGATCCATGCCCCTGTGAATAGTATTTCCTATTACTTTCATTATGTATATATCTGATTTATTTATCTTTTTTGTGTGAACTGTATTATACGGACATTTTTCTTTACTGGGTATAACGTTAGTGTCACTAAACAATGTTTTTACTGCTGACATCCGAGTGATTTAGTTATCAGTGTTAAGCTGCGGTCATATCATAGGTCACGAAAGAACACGTGACCGTACGTTTTGTTATGCGTGAACTCTATGATTCATATTTTCTGTTTGATAAATTGTAGATACATGTCTTGGGATCATAACACATTTAAGAAGATGGGAATTGACGGTCCTAAGCCTAATCCAGTATTTGGAAACATGAGGATGTTCATCAAGGATGTACGTGCACGCTCCATGTTAAATTTATGTTTGAATACGTTTATATTATGAAGCTCTGATGGGTAAATCATTGTCGACTTTACGTCTCGCGATATTTGGTGACAAAGTTAATTTGATTTTAATTTTGCTATTTATTTTTTTGCAAATCCATCAACAAGCGTGGGTATCACTCCTAAAATATTACTAGGAGGCATGTCCCATTTGTAAACAACCGTATCGATTACTCAATAACAAAGTTATGTGGAAGGGAGGTCCAAATCTCGTGACAGCTCTAGAGCGTGATTATGTTCATCTTGTCAGTTATTCATAAAGGAACCAAAAAAGTTAAAGCACGTTTCTCTTAAAATTTGAAACTTTGAAGTTAGAAAAATCTTATAAACATCAGTCAACTGTTTTTGATCTAAACAACCAGTAGGTAAGAATATAAAACACTTGTGTTAAATGTGATTATAAATAATGATGTACAATCAGAGATGTTTTTGTATATTTGTTAACACTTTTGATCATTTTACCCATACAGTTGTCGATTTGTGCTGTAGTACACTTGAACCATATCCATTAATGACCCTTGGTGAATAAACGGTCACTATCTTATACGTATTTCTATACACATGTGTTTTACATGTTTACATCATTTTGTTCGAGCAATTGTTTTAAATGGGTATAACTTCAATTGTTGTGTTCGGTGTTTAATCCATTCTAGCATAGCATCGAAAGGCTGTTTCAATGGGTTGTATCTCCCGATGTCTGATTTTACACGAATATACACTGAATAAGTAGTTATAACCACGTGAGCGTTTTATTTCACTTCATTAATGTCGGGTAATGATGTAATACTTAAAAAGTTTCATAATGCAAGTCTAACTGTGCATATCATATCCCCTATACTACTGATGTGTCAGATATTGAAATATTAATGTGTATTATGGAAATGTTAATGTGCATTAAAACATCACCTACTCTAGTTAAATATGATAATAGGAATTTTAAAGTTTTGATATACATGAAATATACGCCATTAACTAAGGATGTTTTATAATGAGAGTTGAAAAGTCTTAATGTACTTCAAATGAATCCCTCTACACAAGTGAAACAGAATGAAGGTACAAATTGGAAAGTGTTTATGTACATGAAATATATCTCCTTCACCAATAATGTATCATAATGAGAGATGACAATGGCCAATGTACAATAAGTAAACCCCGTTCACTACTAATGTATAGTACATGGCAATAAGGGTAGGAGAGTATTTGTGTACATGGCAGAAATTCGACTTAAGTAGTGCGTGTTGCGCGAAAAAGTATTATTTCCGCTTTTTCTGAAGCTTTGAAACATATTTTTATACTAAATAATTGAAATCAGGATAAAACAGTTTTACTTAATCCTGAACTTGGTTGTTAATCGAACCGAATTACCTGTACCAGACAAATAATAGCTAACGTTTCTGTGGGGTTTAGAGTTGGGTCTTGATTGAGTTGGGGTTGTTTCGAGTCAGATTTTGATTTCATTCCATTTGCAGGTTACTTTCCAATGATTATCAAGATCGGTATGGACGTATCCCACCTACCTTAAAACAATGTATAATACTTAGCATTGCCAAACAATCAGGTGTGATTCTTTCATTCCAATCACATGGGGTTATAAAGTTGAATCTCTCACTTTCTGGTTCATGTCTTTTATTGAAATGTTTCTCTAAATTCAAACGTAACAAAAAACCGTGGTGATTGTGGTTAGTAGTGAGGGATCTAAAAGTATGTGTTATTAGTTTTATATTTTTTATGTGGGGTTAATGGGCTTATACACTAAAGAAATTGCTTTGTGTTTAACTAGTCATCTTGTTTTATATTCCAGGGGATTATTAAAACAGAGCTAGATATGTACCGCAAATATGGCAAAGTGTTTGGGTAAGTCTTTGTAAAAACAAATGATTGAATAAAAAACTTATACTCTGAACTTGATTCATTTTATGCAGACTGCATAATTCGTTTATGAATATAATTTACGATTATCTGAAAATATTGATTATAATTTTATAAACCGAATTATTGTCCCTTGATGCGTATTGACATAAATGAAGATATAACTAAGCTATTTGTTATTCATTTATTTTGTTTATTGATATGTTCAGTTACTTTAAGCAAACACATGTATTTTGATGCATTACTACACGTTAATGCATTAGGGAGTCGAACAGTGCTGTCATATAGGATGGCGGGGAAGGGAATCGAGTCATTGTCAATGAATATGTTTTTCTCTTGTGTTTCTATTAAGCTAAATGCCCATGTTTACCTATAGTAACTATGTGTTTATCATACTAGTAGACATCATTTTGTTACACACACGTTAACGTCTATGTCAATCGATGGATAAACTGATGCGTGAAGTATACTGAATACACCACGAATACTGACAACCAGATCCCACTTTGCAGCTAGGAGAACAGTGTACTTCGGTTTTCCCTATCTCCATTAATTAGCTAGTTTATTACATGTTTAAAGCTTAATTCTGCCACACTTTCGGTGTAACAACATTTTACACTGGTTAATTACCATAGGCTATTGTATGGTATTGAAGATTTGCTAGTGGACAAACACAAAAAAATCTGTTTTACCTCTAGATCCACTTTAAACCACAGGACCTGAGAATTTTTTACAGCTATATTTGGACCTAAACTAACGTGTTCAGAGTAATTTGACATGTTTTAGGGGTTTAGATCGACTTTCGGTAAAAATGACACCCCAATGGCCATATAACCGAGAATGGAGGAAAGCTCTCGATGTCGAAATGTCGACCCAACCTTACTATCTTGTATCAAAAAAAACATTTCTAGCTGATCTACGGGAAAATGCTTAATACCGTTTGAAAGATGGATACATTTTTTAGAAACCTCCTATATGCACGTAAAATGTATTCTCAAAAAACACGCCATTTCAAAGTTTTAAAATTTTTCGCAGTCAGCCTGCCACTATTTTGAATAATAATGAGGTTGAGGACAGCGCTTGCCGAAACATACAGTGTTGGTTGGTTAAGCGAAATAAATAACTGCACTTCCAGCCAATCACTCCACGGGTCTCCGCACGCGGCTGACGTTAACCTCATTTATATCTAAAAAGTTGGCAGGCTGACTGCGAAAAACCCTGAAACAGTGTTTGTATATTTGTCAAATGCTAATGTCATGTGTTGATGAGCGATGTCGATAGATTGGTGGATTGGATTGAGTAAAATAAACACCTGGCATAAAGTATGACGTCAGTCAATGTTCATTGTTTTCGTCCTTCCGAAATTGATCCCACACAGTTAGAAATGAAATATAAACCTATTGTAAAATTAAGACAAAAGGCATCACATGACAAAGAAGAGCCTAATTTTAATGATTATATTATCTAGGTCACCTTCTTGTCAAAGCGTTTGGACATTGAGGTAGATACGGAAAAGACTTTCATTATATTTTACGTGGAAGGATAGATAATATCAATATATGTTTATCTATAACAGTTAAAATATAACTCGGGATTCAAAAATGATAGGAAAATAATGAACTCGAGACATAAGCAGTCTTCGTTAATTATTTTCATTATTTTTTCCAACATTTTCTCTCCCTAGTTATATATTTCACCATACTACATACGCACATATGTTGATTTTTTCTTACGTATCGTGAATATATCAAATAATTTTTATTTTATGACACAGAATGTATGAGTCGTATATCCCGGTCCTGTACATCGCTGATCCCGCTCTTCTTAAGGATATTATGGTGAAAGACTTCAAAAACTTTGTCAACAGGAGGGTATGCATTATTAAATTAAACATCATTTCCATGTACCTAATTACGTTCTTAACTTTATCTTTTATGGAAGTATTCGTTCACGAGCGATACAAATGACAGAAAATGCACTGTTAATTATAATTAACGATAGCGGAAAGCAAGAGTTTGTACTGAAAACCTATTTAATGTCATTTGAGTGAATACTTGTTGGATTGATAAAAGCATTTGTTGGAGTTTTGCAGTATGACCAAGTTGCCTCCTCTTACAAAACGAAGATTAAATTATTCTTTTTTTCACGTTTAGGACACATTTAAGAAATTTTCCGATTCCAAAATGAATTCCATGCTCACGCAACTACAGGATGACCATTGGCGTTTTGTTCGAAATACCATCAGCCCAACGTTTAGTGGCAAGAAGTTGCGACAGGTAAATAAGTCTAGCTATATCATACATGTTTGTAAGATCTCCTGGGATATTCCGATTCTCAAGCTCCGTACCCTCACACACGAGTTACATGATTTACCTAGAAACACTATTAAGCCTTCAATAATAAATTACAATTATTCTTTCCCTTTCAGTTTCCTTCATTATATTATAAGTTCTTCATACTTCTTAACATTTCCAACAAACTATTCACCCCATACTGTTTCCAGCCACCCTTTCCCGTTTGTCTCAACCTTTTTCTATCTATCCTGTTCATTCACATATCTTAAGTTACTTGAATAACCCCGGTCTTTTCCCTCCTCATGAATACCTTCCGTTTCCAATCCTTTTTCATTGTCACCTCCTTACCCTGTCCAATCTTATTCTCCCCATCGATCTATTTCTCATTCCTGTGTTTCATATTTAATCTGTGTCCTGCCTCCATTTATTTCCACGTCCCTTGAACCCCTCATCGCCCTTTGTTTCTATCCCTCTCCATTCATCAATCGTCTTTCTACTCCCGTCACTTCTATCCTTATACTTTTTCATTGCAATTACCCGACATAAATATTACACGTAGTTAAAAAAAGGGTCTCTATTATAATAAACATCTGTCTAACGATGTTGAAAGTAAACAGTAAACAGAGAATATCTATTAAGCAAATAATGTACGTCATCTGCGGAATGCATTCAGTTACGTTGAATGGTTAACTTTGGGAAATGTTATCAAAATGAGAGGCAGTATATTTTACATAGGTCACTAATACATTGCATAAAATCAAGTATGAAACATGAGACGGTGATACGTTAGCGAATAAAGTACAGTATATGCCGTTCAAACAATGTTGCATCAATCTAAGTAGGCTGTAATGTTTGACGCTATGGATAAACAATGCATCATGTTACCCTGTAATATATGTTACCTATTATATATATTTGATCACCTCATCCAGTGTTCCACGTCGTTCATGATACACATTGAGTTATGATTACTTATATCTTCTATAAGCTTTTCAGTTTTTGTGAAGTTCACGATGTCTCTCCGGATGCTTAAATGTCGGTTTGGTATCGACTTTGATGTCTGCTATTAACCTTGTCTTATTAATGCTAGGCATGTATTTTTTTTCTATTTTACTTTGTATAAGATGACACCTTTAATTAACAACTCTGCTGACAAGTTCATGGAACACATCGATCAAAAGATCAAAGAAGATGAAGACATCGATATGAAAGGGTAAAAAGCATGCATTACTTTTGGACGAAATTTTCCTCCTCTTGATATTCACAAAACGAAGGTTGGAATAATTAATGGATAGAGAGGCATTAACTTAAGATCATATCTCATTTGAGATCACTCCGCTATTTGTTTAGAAAATAATAAACCTTCGCTGGTGTAGTATTAGGTTAACCTAACCAGGATAACACACTAATTGATATATTGGTATATGAATTATTGCTTTCATTCTATATTCATACGTTTAATAAGCTCAACATACTATAAAAGTAAACAAATTAAAAAGGAATACAAATCCAGCTGTAGCGACGTATTTCTGGATCTACCTTTCCGTAATGTTAAGCCCAACAATTATGTTTCTCACGCAGGTTCATAGGAGGCTTCACTATGGATGTGATTGCTAGCACTGCATTTGGTCTGGACGTTAACAGTCAAAATAACCCGGATAATCCTTTTACGAAACATGCCAGATGTTTCTCAGATTCAACTTCTATGGCAGTGATGGTGGTCATTGTTTGTAAGTAAACGCAATAATGATAGTGGTTATTCTAACTCATTTGTTAAAGTTTTCAAGGATATTAAAATAAAAGCATGTGTATTTAAACGTGATGTAATGATATAAAGGTCAACCCGTGATCTAATGATATAAAGGTCAACCATCTATTTATTCAAATCAGCAGAGTTTGAACACATTGAAAATATTTATAATCAGTCATCTTATTTCAGACCCAGCCTTAAATTTCGAACGTTCGAATACAGATTTTGGCCACAAAAAGTAATACTCTAATTGCTGTCGGTATTTGGCTATTTCGATGTTCACACCAACAGTCCTTGTTGTAGGTGTGTTGACTTGTAATCATGATGTGCTACCATCGCAGAAAACTTTGACAGACAATTCATGCAAATATCTGCAGGCCATTGCGTTGATTTTGTTTAGTATTTGTCTTTCTGACTATGCCCGCGACGCTTATAACTTGAGGCTCTAAATATGCAAATTTCGGAACCTTGACGCCTAATCGTAGATAATCGACACTTGTGTATTGTCATAATACTACCGTGTTTATCATATCATCGCATCAAAACCTCCGATGCCTGATTTATTACTTAACTGGTGTGTTACCTGAACATGTGCTAAAGCAAACGGGTATCCACGTTAGAAGGTACCCGTGGTGATAAATCACCCAGTATGGGTCAGCATGGGTATGTACATATATGTAATTATGGTGTCCAGTCACGTACATACGGATTAAAGTTTTAGAAAAGTCATGTGTCATAAAAAGATATAAAAACAAATATTACAAATGCATGTATTCCATAACTTCCCTCTCAATTCACTTCATTACAAATGGAACCCGTCATTACTGAGGAAAGCATGCATTACATGTAATGTGTGAAGTAATACTAAACTCTGCATTTACATGTAAGTTGATTTAATGCACGTCAGTTCTGTGCGCCTTTAGATTTGCAAATGTATCGTATTAGTTTGTTGTTGTCCGTTATTTGCCACAAGATTACTGTTGGCCATGATTTTGTGCCGATATCGACTCAGATTGATCAACCTTTCTTGTATTTAAACAGCTATACTAATCACTGGCTCTTTGGTTGTACATTTGTATGGACATTGCTATTCTCGTATTTTGTAATTGCTAATTGATGCATTTGTCTGTCTCCACAGACAAGAGATTCTGTGTTTGGCAGGTGTCATGATTTCACGCCTTTGTATTCTTTCAGTCTTTCTACCGTTTCTTGCGTGGATTTTGAGACTATCTGCGTTTCTTGGATTCAACCTCACAAAAGTGAGAACTGCAATGAACTTTTTCGCCCGTGTGACTGACAAAGCTTTAACGGAAAGACGGCAGTCCCCAGGAGTAGGTTTGATTTTTTTTCCTCATATATACGAAACAATTATATAATTATTCAATCATACAATATGTATGTATACTTGCCTTTACAAACGGATTTTTATTCAAATATTTAGCAATCACCAACTTAATCTATGGACATGTATAACGACAACCATAAAAATAAAGTTTAAGGAAGAAAAGGAAATAAAAAGAAATACGTCTGTACTCAGAAACATAAATCGATAATAAATATGCATGTACATTGACAGGAACCGTTTTATCAATATCCGAGCAACCTTCAGAACAACATTCCTATCATGTATACACATTGTATAAAGTCCTTGCGTTGATTGCATCGGATACACAAATCCCCATAATCATTCATCAGATGCTTACACATATGCATTTTTGAAAAGGTCAGATATTGCTTCTCTATGTTTCCATTTGACAAATTACGAAAATGTCCGTCAATTAAAATATTCCAAATATATCCAGTGATCTCTAGGTTTAAATAAAATATTTCATTTATTAAATCCATGTCTCAAATTGACCGACAAAAATGCAATCACCAATAATATGCTATCAAGAAACGGAAAAGTCATGACATATTTTCCCATTGATATTGGACATGTTAGCTGACGACTAACTTAATTAATTTGTTCTTTTAGGACGTGTACTGACGTTTACAGTGACCAGATAAGAGGCAAACAAAAAAGACTAGAATAACTAAGATAAATCAATAAACAATTTTAGCGATTATGCTTTGCTTCAGATTGTTAGACATTGATAATCGTTAGACATTCGTTATAAGTTATTTTAGATTACAATTTCATATATCAAAGTATTAAAAAACAATCAATATACTTTAATATAGAAAAAATAATACTCATTTGCTCTTTATCATATTAATTTCATTACAATCACTGCTTATATAACCATTTACTTAGAAAACTGAAGCAATTAAACTTGATGGCAAAGCAAGCATTTAATTGTAAGGACAACCTAGACAACCAGTCGATTTTGTTTATAGTCTGCATTTAGAATTTACAAGAATCAACTAATTTTTTTTGCAGGAGCATTTTGATTTTCTCGGAATAATGGTTAAAGCTGAAAAAGGTGATGAGACAACAGAGGAGGAGAAAGAAGATGGAGTACTCAAAGGAAATGATGCCAGTGAAACATCGTCAACATGGACGCGCAAGAGTAAGGCTACATGGCTCTATTTACATCCTTTATAAACATATATTTACATTTGCCCTGCATTGCCACAATATAACACTTCCAAGGCCAGTTCCGTGTTATGAGACAATAACACATGAGTACATCCTCCCCACAAGAAAGCAGATAAGCAAAAAAAAAAACCCAAAAACCTCTATAATTCAATGACATTCACCGTTTTATGTAAGACTATTATTTAATGGGAATTGAATATATGAATTGATTTAAGTATGGAGATTGTATCGATATTATAATGTTTATTTCCACGAACTATATTTTTACGGGGAAAGACACGAGGCAACGTTCCGTGAGCTATTCCATTGGCTGTTCTACCTCTTTAACAAACACCTTGGAATTAGGACTTTAAAGTGCGTTGTGAACCTGGAAATGAAAACAAATAAAACATTGAAAACGTAAAAATAAGCAAAAACAACATTCTTTTTCGTGTTATAGAAATATAGCACGGAGCATAATATATTAACACTGTCTATTTTTTAAATAGTCGTGAAATTATCTGTTTCTAATAAATATGCTGGGATAAGTCATATTCCAAGCGCATTTATGCACTGCATTGTGTTGTTTTAATATTATTACAGCACTTTTATTTTTTGAGTACAATTCTATTATTTTTGCGATGTAAAATTAATGCTTCCATGACATTTTCTATTTAATTTAGTTTGAATTTTCCTTAATATATTGTTCATTATGTGTTTTAGCACTGACTGTGGAGGAGATAACAGCCCAGGCTACACTGTTTTTCGTTGCCGGATATGACACGACCTCCAACACTCTTTGCTTCCTCATGTACCATTTAGTCCTCTACCCTGAAATCTGTGACAACCTCCTACAGGAAATTGATGATAAGTTAAATGGGGTAAGTAATCTTTACCGATATAATGTAATGTCCCCGGACACAACTTATATTGTTAGTGATATGGTCACAATTTTGCGGATAATAAGTACTCATACTGTACTTTTGTTCATGACTCGGTCAATACACCTCAGTGAATGGACTGTAACAACTGCAATTTGTCGCATATTGCCCCGCCCGTTACACATTTTTTAAAGAGGCTCCACCCTTTCGCAATTAGTCAAAAATTCCTCTCTGCGGGCTATTTGATGAAGCGTACTGCTATACAAATAGCTATAAAGGAAGGCGCTATGTGATATGTTTCAGATACAAAAATCGTGTACATCATCAATTACAAAAGAACAAAACAAAACTTACAGATATTCTCAAGTTTTATCATATAACCGACACTGTATCATATCGTCTAGTTAGAGTATTAATTCGAGTACTTAGTGAAAGGAGTTTTAATGATAATATACACCATTTAATATAGCGCCCTATCTAGCTAGAATAAGCCACTCTAAAGCGCTTTACAGAACATAGATATACAATTTATACAATCAATACAATTAGCATATACATTAACCAATACAATTTTGAGGAATGTGTAGGAGCTGCCTTATCAGGCGCTTACTACTAGAACTATGACATCTGGCTGATATCTCCCTATGCGTATATGCCTACCTATATGCTGGAGATGTATTGTGTTCTGTTTGTAGTGGGACCGTTCTTCTAACGGTATCCTTTATATTGCCACCTTACTTAAATGCTACGGCGTAAGATCCACCACAGACTATTTTATACTCCACCTTGGCTGTTGGAGTTGTGTGGGCAGGAGAATAACATTTCCTCTGAATAGTCCATGCATACGACGACTACGGGGATCGAAAACCATCTGTCTGCTTGGAGGGCCGGAGTATTTACACTCGACCAATCCACCCTTTATTAGTATATCAGGAATATACATGCATAAAGTGAGACCTACATATACATGACGCTGCAAGTAATCCAGGAATTCAATGCGTGTTAAACTAACCCGTGGGCAATCTATCGGAGTGGGCAATTCGCAGACTTTATTTCCAATACGTAATTTTTAGGTGTGTTCGCAATATAACGGAGTGGGCAATGTACTTGAAACTACGATAAGTTTAATAAGATATGGTAGAGCTTTGGATACATTATACTATTATTTAATATCATTGGTTAATTATACATTACTCTATTAAGCTACGTCGATTGCATACATTCGTAAAATATGCACATGCTTTATTACTGATTTGGAACAACAAGTACATGTACCGATTCTAACAATGTTGTTTTTAACATTTCAGCAAGCACCGAACTATGATAATGTCGCTAAACTCTCTTATGTGGAAATGTGTATTCATGAGACGATGAGGCTGTTCCCTGCCGCGGCTAGGTGAGTTATTTTATCACTCTATACTGTGTCTACATCATGACGCGTTGTCGTGTTCCTTGCTAAATAGTCGTTAATGTCAGACTTCCTGCTGGTTTGTTCTGAGTCTTTTGATAAGGGAATGTTAGAATAAGCGACATTAATAATCTAGCTGCAGTTATTGCAATGCTAGGCTTTTCTTTTCTTTTCCGTTTCGACTTTCTATCTTAAATATTGACTTCATTGCCCCTGTTAAACAGTCATCCGTTTAGTCATTTCTTAAACCTTATTAATAAATAATGAGATAATATGTATTATAGATGAGCCCTGATTGTGAATTTCATATCTAAGAGGGCAAGGAAAATTACGCTGAAAATTATTTTGGTATATTTCAAGTTACATTATCTATCCAAATATATATGAATTCAAATATTTAAATATTTTGTACTTTACTAATATAGACTTGATCGTGTGGCTAGCAATGACGTCACCATCGGAAATATCAGGATCCCGAAAGGAATGATTATAAACATACCGGTGGGTGCCATACAGATGGATCCCGAGTACTGGCCTGAACCAGAGAAATTTGACCCGGAAAGGTAAGAGAACATGGTTTATTATGTATAGTGATAATAAGTGTATAAGTTGGGTGTATCTTCCAAGCGTTGTTTATCATCTTGATGATATACGAGACACGTCAATTAATGGGTCAGTTTTTATACGCTCGTCGAATGACGGGACGTATTATGTTTTCACGCGGGCTGGCGGGCGGGCGTTCGGGCCAAAATTATTCGCCTTTTATTTACAGAGTGATGGCCCTTTGTAGAAAGTTTCCGCTCAATATCTTCAGTAATTTTAAATATTCATCTCAAACTTCATAGGAAGGTTCATTTCTATGGCAGCTTGCACAAGTTCGATAACCATCTACAAGGCTGCGAGGGCATCATCATGGGAGACTTCAATATCGATATCAGTAAAAAGTCTACTAACCGACAATGCCTTCTGCCACTTGCGTAAAAAAATGAGTTATCAACAACTTATTACTAAACCTACTAACGAACCTGGGTTGTGGTGTTCGAGGGCGAACACATTTAAAAAGGGGGGAGGGGGGGGGGGTAGTGTGACAGGGTTCAATTGTACATAGGATTAAGGTCGCCTTCTAGCTTCGAGCTAGAGGGAATTTCCCTTTAGCTCAGTGGTAGAGCGTCCAACTAGGAACCTGGAGATCGAGGGTTAGATCCCCGGTGGAAGCATACTATTCTCTTTCCTGTTACAATATATTGAACCATCCGTATAACAGGATCATATTTAATCATTTAGATAGTATTTTCAACTAGATTATTGTCATCGATATGACGAATTTCCGAAACATTGTTCTCATACGGGAGCGAAAGATGAATTGAAAACGGTATAAAAAATATTATATAAACACTTATTGGTTTTGTATATATGAAGGAAGTAGTGCATTGTCTCTATGTATGTAATTTATGACATACTATCTTTGATGCTATCGTGTGTTAATTTTCCATATCTTATCCTATCAGTCCGAAACAACAGTATCAGCTGATGGCTCATATAGTTCTCGGGTTGGTTTGAGGATAAAAGATGGGAATGACCAGATCACAACCTTTTTACCTCACGGACTGAACACTATTTATATTTACCGTCAGAACTATTAACAATCAATAACTTTGAATGTGGATGAAGAACAGGTATGACCGGACAGATTTGGAAGGGGACGATATATGACTACAAACATTTCCATCTCACAGACATGAGTGTAATTGAAAACTAGCAGCACTTACATATAGGTAGCATTTTCTAAAAACATGCAAAATGAAACAAAAAATGGATAATTGTTATAAGATCAGTTGAACATTAGTATATTGAAACTGAATGCTTTACAGGTAATTTTAGTTTAGTGAGAGTGTTTTGTATGTTATAATGCAATACTGTTATACCTTACTTGAACATTAACTTAGATTTACACCAGAGGCCAAAGCTAACAGAGACCCGCTTGTCTTCATGCCGTTTGGCGCTGGACCCCGCAACTGTGTCGGGATGAGGCTTGCTCTCCTGGAACTGAAGATAGCTATCGTCAGAATCCTGCAGAAGTATCGACCTGTAAAAAGCCCAAAGACAGAGGTAATGTATTTCTATATAAACTTATTGGGGACTGCCAGTTACACGCACTTCCATTCGGATACATTTTTTTCTAGAAATACTTCATATTTTTGGTATGATTCATAGATGGACAGAAGAAACAAACTGCCATGATGTGTGCTTGTTCTTATTTTCAACTGGCAGGGAGACAGGATAAGTATCAAATATATCTTATAGTAAGATTTGTGAAGAGCTCACTTTAAAATTTCAAAATATGTTTTCATTAGAGACACATTACTTTTATCATTTCAGATTCCGATCAAGGTTTCAAAGATGGGGAACATTCCATTGGGTTTGTACCTAAAATTTGAGAAGAGGACCTAAGACAATGTGTATTTGAGAAGAGGAGTTAAACAGTGTACATCGTATCAGGATTAGGCTGCTATAAATTCTCCGTAGTAACTAGTCAAGTCAGAAATCTTTACTAGTGATAAAATGTACATTTATATGCTATATACACATCTGCGTATTTTTAAAATATATACCTTGAATAAACATTAGCTAGCTTGGAACACCAATCATCAATTTACATTTGCGTAGCTGATTTGGACGTTTGATTAACTCTTTATTTCTTTTGATAGGATTATATATATTGTATTTACTCGTTATCGGTAATTATACCATTGATCGTGAGTAATAACGTTAGTGTCAGATGTAATTTTAATAATTACACATACTGCTGATATTTGAGATTTAAAAATGTAGTAAAACAATTCAAGTGAATGTTAATATTACGAACCTAGGTGTGTTCAGTAAAAATACATTTATATTAATGGTAAGTATGCGGGATAGCAAATTAGCTCAAGGTTTCTGTTGTATCATGTGATGTAAGGTCATATGCTAAGGAATAAGGCATGTCCATTGTTGATGATTGTAAATTAATCCTTGAAAATGTTAGAAAGAAGATAGAACATTTCCACCACACGATATTGTTTTCTACTACCTTGATATTACAGACTGATTAATACAGTATATTACAGAATAAAGTATCACACATGTATCTTAGTATACAGGAAACAGCATGGTTTGACACCTAGATGCACGCAATCTCCTCCTACATTTTTCGACCGATCTCTTTGAAACTTGAAACACATTATAATCATGATATGAAGTTGTGTCTCCGTTAAAAGAATTTTGATTCGAATTTTTTTCCAAAAGTTATTGCCCTTTGTTCATTTCAGTATTTGATTTTTGTTCGGAGATTTCCTCCTACATTTTTTGACAGATTTCTTTGCAATTTCGGACGCTAAATAATCATGATATGTTGTTGTGTTTCCTTGAAAAGAATTTTGATTCGATAATTTTTGCAAAAGTTATTGTCCTTTGTTTTTTTCAGTATTTGTTTTCCTGTCCGGAGATTTTCTCCTACATTTTTATAGCATGTCAGCTAACTACTTTTAGAATGATGCAGATCTTATTTCAATGTAAGAAATTTTATAACACTTTATGGCATTCGACGAGCGTATATTGTTCTGCCCCGCGGTACTCTTGTGTATGATATATTAAAAGGGGTTATTATATACATGTATGTAAACACATATTCATCATTTTTGCTTATATATGCTTAACATGTTAGATGTATATCTTGTTTTTATAAATCCTTGTGAATAAGGGTAAGAGGTTAGATAAGCTGTTACCTTTATAGTATCAAAGTATTGTTGTTTTCTTAGTTTTTTACGTGACGAAATTGAAAAAACTCGGTGTTGGACCGCAGGCTGGGTCAATGGCATCAACGTTATTGGACTTTAATGGATAGAGTGGTGAATATGTTATCATATTTATGCAAATAACTAAACACAACTTTATTGATATGACCCTAATCGCTTAAACATTTTTATTGTTTATGCCTTGCCTGAGTTTGGTGAAGTTAATTCGTTCCATTTTATTATTTAGGCTTATGTCTTTATTGTTACATCAGTGATATATAGGACTCTGTTTGCTTTCAACTTATTATAACCTGATGACAAAGCAATAGTTCACCATGATTCTGCATACTAGTTGATGCTTATGCAGAACACATACCTTGTTTTTTTTGTTCTGTTTTATAATTTCGTTATTGTCGTAATTTAATTCAACTTCAATAAATACTGCTAATGAACAGCTTTTACATCCAACTAAAATGTGTTTTGCTAAATTCTTAATTCCAATCTGACATGTCATCATCATATATTCACATTCTGTGTTGCATTTGCCTATATGTCGTTAGTAAACCAAATTCCAGTATATGAGACTGTATACTACAATTTACAGTGATTCGGTCAGTGTAGGAACATACATGACCACCAGATACTTTCGGTATCAATAGGCCTATAATCAGAGAACTTTCTGTGTTCGTTGGCGTTTAGCAATGTAGGTCATCGCAAAAAATAAAGCAACTTGACAAATTATGACAATATAAATGTATTATAAGATGTGTAGGTACCACAACCTTATTGTAAGCGCCATTCTAGATACGAAATTACCAAGTTTGTCAACGTCATTAAACAGGGGCTCGGTCTTGAGATTTTGAGTTATGCATAACATCAGAGAATAACCCCACCACATTAATTTCAGCATTTATAAAACCTTGTAAAAGTCGAGGGTATCGACAAGGTTTTAGAATGTGTATAAATACCTTTTTAAGTGTTGTGGTTCTTCAGTGATGTCATCCATTACTCAAAATCACGAAACCGATCCCCTGTGAACGTCGTCTGCTAGCGATGCTAATCTGACCGATTAGACATAGAATCTGTTTCACACGAAATGTCCTTGGAATCGTTATCACCTTCTGAAAGGACCACTTTAATTAAAAATCTCCGAGTATATATGATTTTGAAAATAACGTAATATCCCAGTCGATGGAAACATAAGCGTTTCCGAGGAAACAATAAAGTCCGTTCAGCGCCACATAACTTCCAAATACATGTAATCTATCAATGCGCGAAAAACAACTTTAATTTTAAACAAGCAGAAGTTATGCAATTATTAACAATTTTTCAACATATACACACTCATATGAAAAAAATATGAAAATTCAGTTTATGTTCAAACCATATTATGTGCGTGTGGTTTACAATGACACGAGAGACTATATTATTTCTTCTGGAAAATTCGGCTGGTCTGGGATTTGAACGTACTGACGTCACTGATATGATATGCGGGAAATTCGAACGTATTTTTGCTTCAGTTACTATACAAAACAAAATTTATAAATGTAAATAGAAGCATTGAACTGTTACCAGATGCAGTATAACAGGCGACATTCTATTTATCTGTCACCCAAATAGCATTCATATCGACTGTATACTGCAACTGGCAACAGTTCAATGCTTAAATGTTTAACAGTCAATTGAATAAAGGTAGAAATCTGAACAGAAAGCGACGCAGTATTATCGTAATAATGAAATTACTGAAATAGTACAATGTCATACTGTTCATCGGTATTGTTACTAATATTGTATAACATAAATTGTTCGTTATGTATAAAAAGTCGTGGTTTTCGCTATTGAACCACGAATATAAATGCAACGAATTTGAATGATATACGTGTCTACTGTATGTTAATAAAGGATATCCGCGAAAGTATACTGGTAGAACGAAAAATGTTGATTTTTGTGAATTGACATGTACAAATATCTTAATATCAAAAAATAACAAGACTATGCTGGACGAACTATTGTTATTGCAATGCAAACACATGTAAGAAGTCAGTATTACTCAAATCCGAACAAGTATTGGTAGCAAGCTTGTTTTATGCAAGTTTGGCTGGCAAAGTCTTCTACAAAATCAATCAGCATCTCTAAATTAACATTCCAACAGATAATATAGCTCACTTATCTAGATAAACATGGCTATAGGGCGATGTACTGCAATAACGTGCTGAAGGTGGAGGTTATCGGGAGTCATCTAACTTACCCTGCTAAGGCGTTTGCTTGTAGTTGAGAATCTTGGGAACAATGCATTAAGAAAAAGATGTTACAGTGTAAGTACATGTTAGTATTCAAAGTAAGGAAGGATCTTAAGTACAATGGTATGGTACCTTCGACGGACTTTTTCTGCACTAGGATAATACTGACTTTAATGACACCCATTTTTATTGTAGGCTAATTCGAATAAAAAAATTATGACTGCCGAAAAGTTGTTGCTATTCGTACAAAAATATTACGATTTGAATTTGTTTCAAATCATCAATGATTTGTCATGTATTAGCTGTGTACAAATGCTTGTTTGTTAGTTGAAATATTTGAATTCAAAATCAAACATTTCCATTCCTACTCAAGTTGGACAACGTAGATCTACAGGGGTTCGTTACAAATGTCTGAAATATGCATATCATGCTTTAACTGATATAGGTCACAGCACACATAAACATAAAATATAAATGTATGTTTATGTGTGCTGTGACTCATATTTGTATTTCAGACATTTGTAACGAACCCTGTGGTAGATTAATATGGCTCCGTCTTATATTAAATACAGTCGAACAGCAAAATGTCATACCAAATGTTACGTCCTTTCAAGCCACGTCTGGTTTCCTGTCTAATTCGGTATTCAATTACTGCAGCTTCACATTCCAGAAGATGTAGAACCTCGAAATTTACCGGCTCTCTACTTCGAGCTAGGAAAAGAATGGCTGCCATAAACTCGCAGCTAAGCCTGCGCACCGCATATGGTGGACATTTTTTTCCACGATGACGCATCAGAACATTTGATATCTTATGAATTCTTCAACAAAAATAAAATACGACTTTGAAAATATGTTTTTGTGTTTTGTTTCTACATTCAGTAATTTGGCTGGATTGAACTATCAACGTACACCATCATGTTGTTTGATGGTCCTTCAATGACAGACTATATTTTTTACATTACGTCAATACGTAGACTTGCACAAGCTCCAGAACATGGGACAAACGATCAGAATGGATTTCACAAGTTTCAATTATTGAAAAACACGTTGATTGAAATATAATGATTGAATACTGCTTTGGTTGGGAAACAATTTTAACATAAACTACTTCGTTGAAATTTTGAACGGTAACTGATTCCGTAGTTATATTTGCGAACAATCGTTAGAAGATAACCTTCGATCGTCGCTAACGTATATAACAAAACTGTTGATTTACTTTCACCGATTAAGAGGTTGTCCTTTAGACAATTTGAAAAACAGTGTGTTTTTTCAATGCTTTTTTCTGTGAATGTTTTCACGGTAGACAAAACAATTAAAACACTGATACATTTGAGTCAAAACTGTTTAATCCCGGAACCATGCAGTTGAATTTAAAGTATTTTGTACATAACAAGTTTAATCACGAATACTCGACCATTTTACTCTATATGCTTTGCGAGATATGTCAGTAGCAAATTGCATTTTTGACAGTGACTGATACATAATGATATATCGGAAGACACTATTTATTGATATTTACACGACGTAATTTACTGACAGCCCGACAAACAACATTACTATTAGAGCCAGCTCGGATTATCCACTGTATTCAGAAAAACACCAATATTGTAGCTGGAAATACAAGAAGGTGAAATAACAGTATAAAACAAATCAGCAAGTATAAGTACAGTATAATAGTGTATGTTAGAGCGTTTTTAATTCGTAGACTTTATTTCAAATGTTTACATAGGAGTCAGCATTGTTGTTCAAGGTAATCTGAGGTAGATAGGCTTTTAGAACGTAAAACATGTCTTTGTATCTAGAAGAATCTAGACTGCTATTTTAGGCCTTGTATACCTTATCGGTAGTCGTACACATACGCTCTGTATTAAGAGTACGTGCCTTGATATCCGAGGTCTTTGATGTCAGGCAATGTGGGGCATTCACATTTTGTTGTTTAACCACATCGTGTGAACGTAGAGTTTTACAATCAGTCAATAACATTTGGCGAGGATCGCGTCGTTTGTCAAGATCAAACTTTATTAAGAAGCCGCAGTCTCTGATTTTGGTCTCTCAGGGCAGAATTTAGTTCGTTCGCGTTAGCGATATCTGTTGCACAAAAAGAGGTCAGTATTTTGGAACATCGTCCAGATGTATATAGCTCTGTCAAGAAATATTACTCAGGTCGTTGACAAGGCATACATTCAATAATTGCAGCATATTAAGTGAAATATCTTCTTCTTTCGTGAAACTGTTTTGGTATATTTTCGTTAAATAATCTGATATTGTTTCCCTTTAGAATTTATTTCACCTATATTAAAAAAAGACACGTATCGTTATGGAGGAGTGGGATTAGGTGTTGTATGTCGTGGGTTAGAGGCCCGGACAGAGCACAACTCATTAAAATATCTTCCTTCGTCACTCGTGTTTATAGGTCAGTCATTAAAATGATAAATACAATATATCATATAAACTCGTGCATATTGATCAAGGTTTAAAGTATGGAGTGTAGTGTACTAGTCGTTTGCAATAATGAATCTTGGTGTTAATTATGACATTTCCATCTACTGCCTTGAGACAAAGTCCCCTGGAGTTGTCTTCCCTTAGACCATCTTATAAATGACTTTTGACAAGAATTTGGCTTCTATCATGATTTTTCTACTCTGTCTTTAGCAATGTTCGTTTTACCAAGGTGAGTGATCCAATTCAATAATAACTAATAGAAAATTTCCCTACCTTGAGGGTGTGACAGAGAAATATCCAACCTGAGGGGTGATGTGTTTGGTTGTCTAACCCGAGGCTCTGCCGAAAGCATGTGAACTATTACATTGAAACCAGTATCAACAGTATTTATGTTATATGTGTGAAGTATCACATTATGTAGGCTTGTACGATTGTGAATTGTGCTTGTACAACAGTGTTTATGTTATATGTGTGAAGTATCACATTATGTAGGCTTGTACGATTGT